GTAGTTTAATTATATAATCTTGACAATGGCAATAGGATTAAGAAGTAATCCACACTAATAAAGTGGTGTGGGTTAGAAATGAAGTGGAAATTGTCAGGGGTCTTCTGTAGGACCTAGGCTGCCCTAGCTCCTGCAGCTGTCTGCTTACCCTGTAATTGAATGTCTGAGAGTGATTGAAAAAATGTTATTTCTTCTCAGTATTACATGCTAATGTACAGAGGGCAAAAGGAGACAGCAAAAGAACACATAGCTTCTTATTTCATCCATTTATAGGGATGAGCTTTGGGAAATCATGGCTGTTCTGCAGCTATCTGCTGCCCATCTGCAAACACAATGTATTTGTACATTGGGAATAGAGGGCAAAACCTGCTCTGATCTCTGCAGAGCATCCCTTCTATTGTCCTACTGGCACACATTAAGATTGATGTGAGATTAAGCACTATCACCCTTCTAACAATCGATGGAAATGTCAATTCATCTGAATTTTGAAACACTTATTCACCCATTGATTACCTGAATAGGCACACCTTGTTTATAGGCACTATATTAATTCAGAACTATAAGTGCCAACCTTCTCTTATGCTGTTTTCTTCCCCTGTAGGATTTATACCATGAGGAATTGACAATGGAATTCCAAATTCTTTCTATATCAATCTTTCTCTATGTGTGTGTGTGTGTGTCTGTGTCTGTGTGTGTATACACACACATATATATATAACATTTTTAGTTCATATTTTTAGTTCAAATACATATTATGCTGTTCTATCTGTAGTGAATCTATTGTTTTCAGTAGCAGTCTGATTTGTCTCTTTGATAATCCCTGTGGAGATTTGATTATTCCAATAAAAATTCATTCACTTGGAAACCCACCCTCCAGCTGTTTACTCCCAGAGTCCCTGAACTACACTAATATTAGATTTTGAAGCATTGAACAATACTTAACAGTTGAAAGGAAGGGTTAGAAAAGAAGTATTTTTGCCAGTCATTGATGGGGTAAAGTTGTTATGGGAGAGGTTTTGTGTCAAGCTGGCATAAAATCTCTATCAGAAAGTATGGTTTAACATTTCCCACTTCATTAATAAGCTAGTGATCTTTTTGCAGTCGTGCCTCTACCATACTGTAAGCTAACCCCTGGCTTTGGAAGCCTATTGAGGCTTCCTTGCTCCTGGTTGTTGTTCATGTTGTTAGATAGCCTGAGGCTTGTTTTCTAAATGGAATGTGGATGGACTTATTTAGGCAGAGCCACCTTCTTACCTAGAGATTAGACCAAAGCTTTGCAGACTCCCTGTAAAATAATTGCATCCTAGTTTACTATTATCATTAACCAACTGTTATAAATCTTCTAGTATGAGAATCCTGACTTTGCATTTTCAGAGGAAGATTTGGGGTGGACAGAATATGTAAGTGTAGAGGTAGTTGGCAGGCAATTCAGTATTAGAAGTGAGAAAGAAAAGATTAAATACAATTTCAGGTCGAATTTGATTTTTTGAAAAATGTCATTCCAACTTGCGTGGTTTGTCTTTTCCTTTTGGCAGGTCCTGTTAGCCTGAGCACACCAGCTCAGCTTGTGGCCCCCTCCATTATAGTAAAGGGCACTCTTTCTGTTACCTCCTCCGAACTCTATTTTGAGGTGGACGAAGAGGATCCTAACTTCAAAAAAATCGACCCCAAGGTGAGAAGATAAGGGGGTTTCATTTTTTCTTATGATGGGATGGTGGGTGCTGTTGGGTGGGATTGGCATTGGTAAATCTGACAGGCTTAATTTGAATTTCTTCTAAATTGCCTTGGCTTATATGCAATGTCATTATCTTCTTTAGCTTATGATTCCCTACCAGTTAGATTATTGAAGTTCATTTAGATTAAAAAACAAATTCTACTTAATGGCATTTATCATTAGCTCTTTGTGAGGAGGGGAAGGAACCTCAGGAAACATTATCTATAAATATATTTTGCCTCAAAGGGTCAAGGGTGAATTAAGATACAAAATTCAGTGAGATTGAGAGTGGAATTATTTTGTTTAGCCTTTATGTTTTCTGGGTATGATACCAATATATCACTCTCCTTGCTTTGTCCCTATGACTTACTACTCTGTCGTGCATGCAAGCATGTTTTGTGTGTGCGAGATACCTCTGTTTCCTATTACCTCCAGTAGATTTTACAAGGCACTGCATAATATTCTATTCTTAAATGAAAATGTAATTTCCCCTTTAAAATGTATTTCTCATTGCTTTTCAGACCATGGCAACTTTGTTTTTACTAAGAAACATTTGTAGTACAGTCATAAAAGCCAAAATTAGGCTTATTTCAAGAAAAAGAATGGTAGAATTTGCTCTGAGAGAAAACAATTTCTTTAAAAATGAGCAAAGTAAGCAACTTGTAGAGAAAAGTGGTTTAAAACGGAATAATTTATTTTGGAGGTTGATAGCACGTATATATATATACATACTTTGAGTTTTTTGGTAGAAGGTTCTTCAATTTCATAATTATGTGGATTAATAAATCTAAATGATTTAGAAATATTTCAAAGTAGCCATTGATGAAAATGTTATAATTTTATTTAAAACTGTACAGATAAATCATATCTTGTCTTATGCATATTTCCACTACTTGGTTTCAATATTGCTGCCTTTATTAAGACAAGACTTGGTAGATTGTATGGAGCTGATTGTTTTGAGCTTGATAAGTTAGCTAATCTAATGTAGAGAAAACTTGCTAATTCTGAAATTCTAGCAATTATAAATTTTTTCTACTTTATCCCATGATTGAAATGTCTGAAAAAACCTTTCTTTAGGAAAGGAAGGTTACCAAAATTAAACTCTCTGATTTCTGGTAATTTCTGAATTTAAGAAAGGCTGGGATTTAATTTAGGATATTCTACCATGCTTTTAGACACATATAGATCAAAGTCTAAAATTTGATTTAATTTTAAAGGGTCTAATGAATTGTTCTGAAAATTACAATCTTTGCCAATCTTTGACATTAGGTTCTTTGAAGTTATTTGCTCCTTTTAAAGAAGTTATAGGTTTTATTTCTCTCTGATCTGAACCTGTACTGCATCATTAAATTAATTTTTTTCTGGTTGCCTGGGAAATATGGAGATCTTTTGGCCTAATCAAGAAATAGTCTTGTATCACTGCAACCTTCCTTATATTCCAGAAGTCAAAACTCCTGGCAATTTATACTTTAAAAAAAAAAAAAAAAATTCAGTCAATTACTGGAAGAAGTTTTAATTTTGTATAGATGTCAATGCTTTAAGGTGTTCTGTAAAAGAGGACATTTATGTTGCTGCACGGTTTTTCTCTTTTTACTGATACCTCCATTAAATTAAATAAGGAAGAAGAAAATATGTTGAATTGGGGATATTTTTGTTCTTATCAAGGCTTAAAAACTTCTTTTTTTTGGAATAGTTGGAGGGATATGTATGTCTAATGCTGCAAATACTCTTGTGAGGGAAAAAATAGTCATTTATGGATATTATTTTTATCTTTTAAACTAAACACTATTCCTTTAAATCATTTTGTGCAAATGTAAGCACATCCTGTTTATTTGAAAATGTTTCAGAACATTTTCCCCAGATAATAAATTGGTTTTTATAATTTAAAAGAATTTGTGTATCTTTCTGAACTACTCTGTGGAATACAGGAAGAGAGACTAGAAAAATTGATACGATACAGTGAGTTGAAAGAGTAAAGATGATTTCAGAACTAAAAAGATCAAAGTTTATATTTTTAACACAGGACTATTTTTATCAGGGAATCTTACAACTTAAGCCTGTTTGTCAAGTGAACTAGGCTTCAGACCCCTGAGTGGCTTTCTTGTTTTTCATCTGTTCTGCTATCCTGCTGCTCATCCCTCCATACAGCCCTTCCCCCTCTCAAACTTCTTCCTCTGATCTTTAAAATTGCTTTTTAAAAACATTTTTCTCTATACCTCTCATTTGTGCATTTTCTCAAAGAATTAAAAACTGGGCTAATACAGGGAATAAATGTCAGATATTAAAGGGTAACATCTGACATATATTCTATACCCATATCTGACATTAGCATAACTAATGGAGTATATAGTTATGTTCAACATAAAGAAGACAAACCAATTCCTTTGGGATACTTCCAGTTTCACTAATTATTTTATTTTCTAATCATATATTCCCTTGCATTAAAAACAAACCTTTGTTAAAGGTGAAACACTGAAATTGAGTATATTGGTTACCTTAGAAAAACAGAAAGAGGAGGAAAGTACTTTTCCTATTTGTAAATTCCTGAAACAGTAATTTTTCTTTGGTTATAAAAATGGTATGAAAACCTTTTTTGTTTCAATTGCATGTAAGCAGTTTCAGAATAATTCCTGAAATTTGATTGTAATAATCATAGTTATGGAATTTATAACTAAGCCATTTTAAAATGAAAGTAATTTATAAATCTGAATGGTTCATATGACCATATGCTGGGGGAGAGGATTATTGCTATAACCATTTTATTCTTTTTTGTTGTGGTTTAATTGTTAAATTTTTATTACTCAAAGCTTGAAGAGGACAAACGGTTGAAGGAAAAGTATCAACTGACTTTGTTAACTATTCAGAAAACATTCATAAATATTTCCTTTATATATCAGATTCAGGTTGGATTTTTTGAAATTATGGCATAAGAAAGGTCATCTCTTAATTTTTAACATGAAAAAGTTTTTTTCTACTTTAAAAATTAGGATCAAAATCTTTTTCATGCTTTTTCCTCCAAATTCAAAATAGATGTTACCTTTAATCTTAACATCTACAGAACAAATGTATATATTACAGTTGGGTAAAATTAATGTTTTCTATTTTCTAAGGATTGGGGTGGGAACTTGTACAGTCAATTCTACATAATGTGCTGTATTTTAAATTTTGCAAATCAGTTCAAATAGGTGCTGCTTGCATTTGGTTCCTCAAGTTCACATCTTCACATTGCAAATTATAAACTGTGATCTCACCTGCCTTCATTTAAGAACAATCCACAAACAGTCAATTACAATGTAATGTTTTTATTACTGTTTTCAACAAGGCGGCTCAGGGTGAGGGTAGAGGTGCAGGAGAGGGAGGGGCACAATCTGACATTGGCACTGAGACACGTTTAACATCAGTAAAACTTTTTTTAAAAGAGAAATTTTACATATAGTTAAATAATTTTTTCACTTGGTGACAACATTCAGGCAACCAAAAAGAAAACGAAATGGGAGGGGGAGGTGGAGAGAAAAAGGATGGGGGAAAGAAGGAAAAGGGAGAAACTACTATACATTGATTTGAAAGTGTACCTTGAGTTTCATTTTGTGGTGGCACAGCCCGATTGCTTCTTTTGTGTGACCTTTTAAATTCACATTGTTTGGAAGAAAACGATCACTTTTGTGCAAGAATGTGATTTGTTTTGGTTGGGTTGCTCTCTTTTTGTTTGCTTCTTAATTAACGAAGGTCTTCTGCCTGGTTCCTGTTTATTTCATGTGACTTACATAAAAGTTTGTGTCCAGAGTTTCTGCTGTTTATCGCTGAGTTGTGTGTTGTGTGTCTGAGAGAGCACGCCCTTTTGTGTCGCTTTTCAAGCAGTCCCCAGCACCCTATAGTTTGTCCAGGCTTTTGGGATTGGTGAGAATTTCCCTGGCCAACCTCCAGGTCTGCTTGGCAGCGCTCTCCAGGGCCGAATGGGGCTTGCCCTGAAAGAGGTCGAGGTTGGGCAGAAAGTAGTGAGGGCAGCGGCGGCACTGCAGGCAGGAGATGAGCTGCAGCAGGATGCCGTTGAGCCGGTCGCCCAGGCACGATTCGTCCCAGTCCGTTTCTCGCGGGTGTTTCTCGCACTCGTACAGCAGCAGCGTCTTCATGTGGTAGTTATTGAGCGGCTGGCCGGGCAGCTCCAGGTGGCGGTCCCGCAGAGTTTTCAGCACCGAGAGGCACTTGTTTCGGCAGCCGCCCATCAGCAGGCGGTTCTCCGCCTCCCCGAACTGTAGCACCCAGGCGTCGCTCTCCGCCGAGCTCTGCTTGCCGGTCAGCGAGTAGCACTCCTTCGAGAGCAAGTTGAACCCTTCGGCCTTGACCTCGGCCACCCGATTGGGGCCAGGCCAGGGGATGTGGGGCATAGGCCACTGTGCCGCGCTTCGAGGCCAGATCCCGGTGCACTTGAACGCCGGTGTGATTTGCACCACGTAGCGCTCCCTGATGCGCAACTTGACCTCGCTGGTGTCCGCGATCATCTTGACCACATCCCGATAGCTGCACTTGTCCACCGCCTGAGCCACCAGCGTCTGGAAACGTGAGCGGATCTTACGCGCTGAGAGATAGCCCGACGCCGTGATAAACTCGACCCAGAGAGACATGCTCCTCTTCCGGCCATCGCTCAGTTTGAGCACCGCGCAACCGGGCAGCGAGCCGTCGTCCACGAAGTTGAAGACGCCCATCTGGTTTAGGTAGAGCACCACCTCAAATTCGGTGGGCGAGATGACCTCAAGCCCTTCGTAGCGGGCATCGATCTCGCTCAAGGAGCTGATGAAGCGAGGCTCCTGCACCTCCACTTCCTTGAGCACGTCCGAGACCACCTTACAGACCTCTCGGATGGTTTTGGCGATGGCCGCCTTGCGCGCCTGGCAGCGCTCAGTGTAGTATTTATTGAGCTGGTAAACCAGCTTGGCCTGAGCGGCGATCATGTTGGGGCACAGGTCCGGGCTATACACCGGCGTCTCGCAATACGTTGAGGGATCCAAGGCTCAGGCACTGGTGGTGGCCCAGCGGCTTTCGAAAGAGGCGGTGCGCTCCCCGTTAAACCCCACTTTCACTCTCGTTTTTCACCTGGGCTGACCGGCTGATACGGCTGCCGGCTTTTTTCCTTTTCCCTCTTTCAAAAGCTTTTTTCTTCTGCAAAAAAATTAGGGGGAAAAAAGGTGATTTTCTAAAAAGAAAAGTACCTCCTGGGACCTTTTAACTTTCTCTTGATAATGTAAAGATGACCTTGTGCGAGAGCAGCGGGGTGGGGGTGAGGAAGAAGGAGACAGAAAAAAACCTCAGGATACCAAAAGGTTAGGCTTAGATGTCTGTAGCCGAGATTGCCTAGAAACCTGGAAATGAAGTTTTTTAAGTGCCAACATAAATTTAAATATAAAAGCGAAACATTCAGTGGTTCATTCTTAAACTTCTCTTCCACGCTGGTAGGACTTCTTCGCTCAGTGTAGGTGAGTACCTTCTTCCTCACCCTCCCGCAAACGGAAGGTGCAGGAGGTAATTAATGTCCAGAGAGCTGCGAAGTGCAACTCTGTCCGCCGTGCACTTGGAGGTTTGCTGACACCCCGCAGTCTCAGCGTGTTGGTCTCCTCTCTTCTCGGGGGGTCGTGTTGTCGCAGTTTTCCTCTTTTCCTACTGGAGGCGTTGTTTGGACGGGGTTGGTTTGTTTGTAGTGGATTCTTCTTACATTTCTTTAGGTGCAAACCGCTGGAAGTTGTTTGGTAATCATTTCTGCTTCGTAATTTATAATTTTGGCCCTCACAAAATCCGTTTTAGTGTGACGAAGTCGTTGCTTGCGTTGCATCTGGGGTGTAGTTATAACGATTCAAGGGTTTCCTTCTCCTCTTCTAGGTTGCTTGTACAGATTCCACTTTCTGAGTCGTCTCTCTCCCGCCTCTCCTCTCCGACCTCTTTCTCGCCCCCGTCTCCCCCTGCTTCTCTCCCCCTCCCCCTCCCCCTCGTGCTGCTCCTCTCTCTCCTCCTCCTCCTCCTCCTCCTCCTCCTTCTTCTTCTTCTTCTTCTCTCTCTCTCTCTCTCTCTCTCTCTCTCTCTGTCTCTGTCTCTGTCTCTGTCTCTGTCTCTCTCTTTCTCCCTTTCTCTTTCTTCTTCCCTCGCTGTTTCTTGGAGTTATTTAGTTTATGAATGGTCCCAGGGCCATCATGAGGGGGTGGAGCTTCAGCTCCAACAATCGCTATCCGAGCTGTCAGTGCTTTAGCCAATCCGAGAGAGAAGACAGGCACGCTTGGCGAGCGGTAGCAGCCACCACTGCACTTGATAAAGAAAGGGGGTAAAGAGAGAAGTAAGAAAATAGGAGGAGATAATGGAAATCAAATGCTTGCACACATTTTACAGCCCTTCTTCTTTATCCTCCTCTCTTATCAGTAGCAAAGAAGAAAAGGAGTTTATATAGAAGGGACTCTCCTGGAGATGGCTGGAATAACACGAGGGAGAGTAGCAGTGGTTCAGAAAGGTTCACTTCTTTAATTTTAATGATTCTATCAACATTGGGCAGGAGAAGGTGCAAAGTGTAACAAAATTACTTTGGCTTGAAGGCAAATGGGAGGAGAAAGGGGAATCTGGAAAAGGACCTAATTTTTCCAGGTCTCTTCCTCCTTTAAAGTCTTCCTCCCTTTCTTCCCCTCCCCTCCCATTGTTGCCAAGAACCAGAGCAGTTGCTGTATATGTGCACCAGTGGGGGTTTGGAGTGGATATAAGGTGAGGGTTTATGAACATAAATCTCTTTTTAGTAATTTCGATATGCTGTCGTAAAACAGGGCAGGGCAAAAACGACTCCAAGCACCTTGTTTGATAATTGTTTCATAATTAAGATTCACATATATTTAATACCATTATTTTATCGTTACAAGAATTAACCAGTTTCGAAAGAGAAAATGTCTAAGTTGTGAGAAACGGTGCAAATTTATATGTAGAACTTAGTAGGATATACTTTTAAAATAAGCTACTAAAATTGTTTCAAACTTAATGAAAAACAAGGGAAGTAAATGTAAACCTAAAGTTTTCTTAAAATGTTACTGTTAGAAATCTAATTATGAATGTATTCTTAGGGGGTACAAATAGAGTTTCATTTGTAAAATGATTTTATTTTCATAATTGGCTCTTGCTTTTAAAAGACTTCACTGCCACAAAAATCTGTAAGTATCCTGTTATTGATTACACAGATGGCTTCACTCCTCCCTGGGCATTTCAATGAAAGGCATGCATGTGCCTTAAGTATATGGATTATCCTTAACAAGCTGTACCCACTGTAGCCTTTCTGTACTTTTGGGTGAAAAAAAAGCTAGAACATCGTTTCTGATTTTGTTAATACTGTGGGTTTATGTATGAACCTAAGATGTCTGGATTATGAATCTTTTTAACGTATGTCAGATAGATGTGATTATTTTTAGTTTGATTTGGGAGGTTATATCCCAGCTCTGGGTTATGAGATAAAAATAAAAATCTTTGAGTCCATTTGGGTGAAGACTTCGTTGTAGAAACCTGGTAGTTCGGCTTTTTCAAAATCCCTTGGGAGGGCCTGACTTACCCTCTTAAAGGCCGGCCGGGTGAACCTGAATTGAATTGCATAGGGAAGTTAATTTCTTTCCATCTACTTGGTATCAGACACTTGGATCTTTTTGGTTCTTTCTTACATACCTGGTGCGAACCACAGGCAGTTTGTCACTCTTCCTCTCTCGTGGCTATAAATCCCTTTCCAAAGAATATTTGCTTAAAAAAAGAAACTATCTCGGATTTGTTGCTTAGGGTTTGTCTTACAGGGACTAGAGAGAACAGTCAGAAGTAAGCGTCCGCGCTACTCTCGAACTGCAGAGCTTTAGTTAACTTCCCTGGAGTGGCGGAGACTTGGGCGGCTGGCCTCCAGGCTTCTCCAGGGAGGCTGCGTGAGTCCCGGAACGCCTCGCCGTCTAAGGATCCAGGGGACCTCGCGCCCTCTGGATTCGCGCGTGGGGGAGCCCGGCTCTAACCTGCGAGGACCCGCCGACGCTCTGGGAACTCCCTGGGCCGGAGGGAACTGCGCTGCCGGGAGAGCGCTACTGGCCGGGAGGGGCTCCGAGGCGGCTTCTCGGAGGGCAGTTACTGGGCGGAGACTGGTGCTGGGGATTGAGGGTGCGGAGCTTTCCCGCCCCACTCTCGAGGTGGTCGCTTCGTCGTAGCCTCTGGCTCGTGAAGGGCCAGGCCCGCTGCGCTCCTGAGAGTGAGTGTTTGCAAACAGCCTCGGGGGTGGCGGAGTTGGTCCGCAGGGCTCCGCCGCCGCGCCGCCAGTCCCGAATCCTCTCCTCTCGGGTGGGGCGGCCCAGGCCGTGCGGACCTTCGAGCTACCACTCACCGGACACCCCGCTGCACCTCCACTCGCGGCTCTGTCAAGCTGGGCTAAGTTTTCTCGCATCCTTGTCCCCACGATTCTCCACCTTTACATACAGAGACCGAAGGATGATAAAACGTTACAAATGTTTTGATTTAAAAACAATTCATTACCAATTTACCCTGTCTTAGGTAGATGCTCTAGTAAATAATAAATCAGTTAAACAAAGGCGACTTTAATTTATGGCCGTGGTACTAATTAGAAACATCATTTGAGCAATAAACTTAAACACTTCCAGCAAATAATGCTCCCTCTTGCTGGTTCTCTTTCTCCCCCCTCCCCCACCCCAACTCACTCTGGCTGCCTCTGCTCTAAGAGCAGCTTCAGCTGTGCGTTTGCGGTCCTCTCTTCCTCTGGTTGAATAATTGAAGGGGGAAACGGTATCTGAGGAGGCTGTAATTGAAGAGCCCCTGTCACCTCTGCTTTTATGTATGTTAGTATAGAAGTCCATCAGCAGCTCCTTGATGGTGTATTAAAACGAAGTGGCAGCTCCTTCTGCAGGAGATACTATGTTCTATTAAACGAGACCAAGTGAGAGAAAGAAACTCTAGAGGCTAAAAGCCACTTCAGGTCTTCAGACCGATTCATCTGTATTCTCTTGTTATAATCCGTCTCATCATACTTGAGTTAATGAGGCAAAGGAAGGGGTGCGAAATCTGATGGTCCTTGACAAATTCATTAGGGAGGCTGCAGGACATTTTATTTGACTGTTAAACATCTTGTTTGTTTGGCTTAGGCAGTGCCAACATCAGCATGCTTCTGCCCAGAGCTGTGGTGCAGGACATTCCTAAAAGGGGAAGAAGGACATTCAGGGTGTGATTTGAATTTCTGTTTTGGATTTCGGGTAGTACATAACCCTCAGACTTCTCTAGGCTTTACCTCTCGCCTCATTACATTAGAAACATAAAGAATGTAGGTGAAATACTGAAGAGGACCTTTTTTGGTTATTACAAACTAAAGTATGCGGATGTTTAAAACTGAAAAGTTTCCAATTTCTTTAAAAAAATGAGTCAGGTTGCAGTAATTACTGTGCTGGTTTTATAGCAATGTGAATGTTTAAAATCCATGAAAATAGGCAGATTACTCATTACATCCTATTTTTACTTATCATAGTTAAATGAACTTTTAATTATTAATGGAATTTCCTGTTTCGATGAACCTTTATGAATACAGAAACTTGGAAAAAAATTTAACTGTTTGTACAAATACATTTTCAGGAAAAATTAGCATATTTTAAGGACACTTTTATGATTAAAATTAGAAGCAAAACTGAAAACTCTGGTGCTAAATAAGGTGATAAGTTGACAGAATACTTTAAAAAGTGAAAATATTTCTAATAGAAGAATAATGAGTAAGCTAGAACGCTAACCATACAATGTTTTATTCTAAGATAATAGAGTATTAGATTTTATCAACATTTTCTTGAAAAGTAGTAAGCAATCCAATTGGGATACTTTCTTGCATAGAGAATTCAGTTATATTTTCCTTCAGCATTGACTAAGCTTGAGCTTAAGTGCTTTGAGAAAGAATCCTGTCTTCCATTTATAAGAAAACAGTATGGAAGAAAAAAACCTAATGCCCTTTGCCTGTCATTTTTATACATTCCTGCACTGTTGATGAAGCTTGAACTGCTGCAGGGAATGTATGGATTTGAAAAGAAATGATTCAGTAGTTCATGTTGTGTTTCTCAGGAGCAAAATCAAACTAATGGCTGAAGTCAGTGCTTCTGTATTCTGACAGTTATAATCCTGTTTATGTTTCCAGAGAATACAAAATTCTTAAACTGTTTTATTTTTTGCTGATCTTTACTTAAAAATGAATTTACTGAGTTAACGTTAGTGCATTTTTTACTTTATCATGTTAACAAGACTTAAAATATATCTGTTATTTTATTATCTGCAAAAATAATATATAGTATCAATAATCTTTACTAAAGAGTACTCAAATTTTAGAATACATGGTTTTATTTTTATGGAAAAAATTTTAGAAGCTTTCAAAAAATAATCAGATTATTGACTTAAGAAAAGACTATATCTCTGAGGATTTATACTTTTTGGAAAACAAAGGACAACATGTTTACTGGTATACAGTCTTATCCTCTAAAATCTAACTTTAAAACATCTATGTGGTTGCTAAATTTTTAGTTCTTAGACACTTAATTATTCTACATACTTATAAAAATGCTTGTTTTTTGAAAATAAAAATTCATTTTTATTTTTGGCCAAATTATAAATGAGTAAATAAAATACTATTAAGTTCTCTGAATTTAAAATTATTTCATTAAAAAAAAAGAAAAGTAAATAACCCAGACATGATTTATTAGTGTGTTCTACTTGATGAAATTTTACTGAAGTGATTATATTTAAATATATGTTAGTTGTGTTAATGACAATCAAGATTATACTATCCACATGATAAGTCAAAGTAAAACTACATTCTCTTGCATTCTCTGTTAAAGGATTTCATTTTCTAAAACTCCAAAGTGTCATGGAGACTGTTTCTAAGCTATTGGTAATTATTATTCTGCCATCAGTCTAAAATAACCGGTAATAGAATGTTTGCCTTGAACAGTTTAGCATAGTGCCTATTAATAATTTTATATGGTCAAGCATGCATTTGAAACAAGTTATTCTTACCCCCTCATAAAGAGCCTTTAAAAGACAAAACCAAACATTTTTTTAAGTCTCTTTGATTAGTAACCCAAGGGTATTGTTCTCATTTGAACCG